GGGGGGCGTACTCATTTGTTGCTTGCCGTAGTCATTTGACCATTGACCACGCGTCCCTTTCGAGACGGAGCACCGTTCCTACACCTACTAGAGACACCACCAACATTTGGGAGCTCTTTACGTTTCTGCCACAAACTCCATAAAAATTTCTTGCACATCTTATCCCCGTCCTCTAGGGCCTCTTGTGCCCACCATCTATCCCCAATTATCGCGATCGTTTTTTCGCTGTTGTCTAATTTACCAAACTTGTCCATGTCACACCCTCTCTGTCTCATTTCCTCCTCGAGATCCTCTCTTTCCTTCCTGTACAACTCACACTCCCCAACTATGTGGGGTCTACTCTCCTCCGATTTGCCACATGGACATGTGCGTCTATCCTCCTTTTCCTCTCTCCTACGGCTGGTATACCTCTTCCTCCGTTCTGGCAAGTCCAGATCGCCTACTCGAAATTGCAATTTCAGCTTTTTCGCATAGTCCATGGGGCCGTCCAAGTACTTCTTCATCCCTATCCCTTCTTTCAACTTCCCGTATATCTCCAAGTGGTCTTCGCTTCGTACCTTCTTCCGAAGGGTTGTCTCCTCCCTACTCTCTAGCATCTCCTTGACTTTCGTCTTGAACCAACCCTTCCGTGTCCAACGTCTCCTCCTCGTCTCCTATCTCCTTCCAAACCTTCTCTACCACCTTGTCCCATCTGATTCCCTTCTTCCCTGGAGTCGCTTTTCCCCAAGCTGCCTCGTCAACCATGGCTGGTAGTCTATCGTCCGACGTTCTACTTACCTTGTACTGCCACTTCAACTTCTGCATGTCTCTCTTTGTTTTAAGAGAGTACATTCCCAATTCTGCTCTCAATACAGTGTTGCTCGTTGTACTTGAACACCCTAGTATTTTCTTGGCCGCTGCCATCTGCACCGTTTCCAGCTGCTTGACGGCCTTTTCGTTACCTTCCCATATCTCTCCTGCATACTCTAGCTTAGGTACAATCACATTCAAGAGAATACACCTCTTAATCCTAGTGTCTAGGTGTGGGTCCGTAAGGATCTCATCCATCTTGCCTATCTGAGCTTTACCCTTCCCAATCAACTTCGCTATGTGTGCGTCCCATGAGCACTCCTTCGAAATCTCTACTCCCAGGTACGTATACTTGTCTACTACCGGTAGTTCTTCCTCCCCCCATTTCCATTTGAATTCTACGGGATTTTTCTTATCTTCGTTACAGACCACTACTGCGCATTTTCCTACGTTCGCCGACAGTCTCCATTTTCGGGTGTATCCTACCGCCGCATCTATTTGTTCTTGCAACCCTTCTGGTGTTTCGGATACCCCCACGAAATCATCTGCAAACATCAGTCCGGACACACTCTTTCCCTCTACTTGGACTCCCTGTCTTACTGCTTCAACCGCCCTTATCAAATCGTTGATGTAAATCTTAAAAAGAGTGGGTGACATCGTACAGCCCTGTGCGACTCCTTGGAGTATATCCACGTACTTCGAAATTTCCCCATCCAACATCACCGCACTTCTTGTGCATTCTGTCATCTTTTTCAACATCCTCCACATTTTCCCCCGGATGCCGATGTCCCACATCTTTTTCCACAATCCATTGCGCCATACGGTGTCGTAGGCTTTTTGTATATCGAGGAAGAAACAGTATGTCGTACGCCCGGCGTCTTTCCTACCTTGGATGATTTTACTCAACGTATATACATGGTCTACACAACTACGATCTGGTCTAAATCCAGCTTGTCCTTCGCTGATCTTTTGTTTCCCCTCCAACATGTCTCCCATTCTATTGTCTATCATCTTGCCAAACAGTTTCCCCACTGTGCTCAACAGGGTTATCCCTCTATAATTCCCCGGGTCAGCTTTATCCCCCTTTTTGAACAGGTTCACGACTACTCCTTCTCTCCATCTCTTCGGCGCGTACTCGTGTTTCCATATCCAGTTGAATATCCGGACCAACATGTTAATCATCCCCTCCCCCCCCTGTTTCAAAAGCTCGTTCACAATTCCATCAGCCCCTGCCGCTTTTCTATTCTTGAGTTTCGCTACGCAGTCCTCTACCTCTTCTCGTGTGAACTCTCCCTGCAACCCGTCTACATCACTACGTTCCCTCTGAGATCTTTCAACGTTTTCCTCTGCCCACGAGTTGATTTCCTTCTCAAACTCCGAGTCGAAGTTGTCGTTGGTGGTGGGTGTCCCAAGTTTGCGGTAGTGCTCTACTAGTACTTCCCTCTTTCCTTTAGAACTGCTTACCATCTTACCCTCGGCAGATCTTAGTGTCGTTATTTCCGTGTCTCCCCCTCTTTTGTTGCCCACTATCCCTTGAATTCCTACCCACATTTGCTTCATCCCCCCCTCAAAATCTTCGTTAGTCTTTTGGACTACTTCCTCCCACAACCCTTTCTTCTTCTTCACGACCAACTCCTTCACCCTCTTTCTACTTTCAACATACTCCTTCCATCCTGCATCTGTTTTCCCTGCCGCATATTTTGCGTGTGACTCTCTACGTACTCGAATTGCTTGCTTGATTTCTTCGTCCCACCACTTCACTGCTCTCTTACAAACTATCAACTTTCTACCTAGAACTCTGCTTGCTGTTGTGTTTACCAGCTCTTCCCACCCTTCTATGATTCTAGACCCGGCCTGGTCCCGGCCTTCGGCATCCTTCGGTGTACCCATTGCCTCCATCAACTCCGAGAGTTTCTTGTCGTTTATAGCCATCTCTTCTTGGAACTCTACCCTCGTTTCTTCTACTTCTAGCTTATCTATTCTCCATCTGTACATTTTCCTGCGTCGCCTACTCTGTATGACTCTCTTCTGTTGTAGGGCTGTCCACACCAACAGCGTGGTCTGTAGTGCCTACATCCGTT